TATCCTCGGCCCTGGAGTTTGGGACCTGGTGTTGGGAATTTTGAAAGATCTCCCACGGGTCAAGGGAGTGTTGAGGGCTTCATGAATAATACTGCATCAGATCCTCAAGGAAGAAGGCCTGCAATTCTCCAAGGGGATTATGGACGGAATCCAGCAGCTTTACTTTCAAACCTACCACTACATCCTTCCACGAACAAAGGGATGGAAAGCGGGCAAAGTGGAACATCTATGGACGCTCGGGACGGGAAGGGCATATTAGCACAGCCACCTCTTCCCCTCCCACCACCACCTCCTTTTCCTCCACATTTGGCTCAGATTAAACGAGGCAAGTTCTACTCCAATGAGACAAACAATGATGGACAAGGCTTTGGTTGGCCAAATGAAAAGCGTGACAGTTTTGTTAGTAATCAGGAGTAGTAAATTTGTTACTTTTTTCAACTCGACGTTTTTTTTTTTCAAACTATCACGAACTTTGCGTTGCATCTTACCAGATGGATGATAGTAGTGATGGTTTCTTGAAAATGGATTGAAAAGGCTCTTCAAAGTGACTTTTAAAGCAATGTCTTGAATATTTCTGTGAAGAATGAAAGGGGACCAACTATACTTTTTACTTTATTTTCCTTAATTTTTTTTAGAATTGGAATGCAGTTGCCTGGGTGACTAGTGCAAAGGTTAATTTCCAGCCTCTCTTGAAACTCGTTGAAAGCATGTATTAATATTAAGAATAAACAATCTCTCCCATGAACATATAATATCCATACGTGTGAGTTGCGACTCCCTCAAGTCATGCACGAGTGTAGACCTGCCTTTCGAGAGGTCCTTGAAGTGCATATAGTGGACTGGAAACAGACGGGGGAAAATGAGTTCTGGCAAAGCGCACTTTTGCAAGTTTGAGGGAGAGAATTCTTCCCAACCTAGTCCTCTGATGCCTTAAGAAGCATGCGATGTGTGAAAAATGAGAAAAAAGAAAACAGCAAGACCTCAAGACTCGAAACATTCTTTAGTGAGGATGATCAGCTAAGCTTTTTCTTCTCCAAATTTAAACTCTGAATCCTGCTAATACACTCTCTATCAAGCCGGTCATACAACAGCCTCAATCTCTTGTAGCCCAAAATTGCAAATCTGTCAATCTGGTCCTCATACCTCTCATAAATTGCAGGAACTGTAAGAAGAGTAACTAGGCCTGCCATCAAAATAAACCGAGAAGCCATTCAAGAAAATAATAAGACGAGCGCTGAGTTTAATCTTAGCCAAGACGGCTATCATTCTCAACAACTGGTAATTTTTTAAGTAACAGGATTATCAACTTACTAATGTAGCCCAGTGAAAGGAAATCCGTAAAGGTACCAATGGCAGAGATGAGCAGCAGGCATGCCGCAGCTTTAACAAACATCCTCGAGTCCTTACCCAGTGCTATATCCTGGGATATTGAGAGCAACATATTTATGTGACTGCGTATAGTAGCCGCTGCATCGTTAACCATTTCCTCTGAGAGATGCAAATGTGGCAGAGGTGGAGCAGGTCTGTTTCATAAATTTACAAGGCCGCTATGAAAAAGTCAGCGTCACTTGACTGGAACTTGACATTAGGATCTTAAACAACAAATAGCAAACGAACCATATTTTACAGGTGAATCCTTTACTGAAAGTTTATGGTCAAAAAACACCCAAACCACGTACAATTTGAATGTCTCATAATTGGCAAATACTGGCTACATTACTAATAATATCTCAATAAAATTGAACTTCGACAGCCCTTTTATGTGTAATGTGGAAGAGGTCACATTGTAACGTGTTGGTCATGTCAGGAGTGCTCAATCTTCAGTTCACCTATCTCAAATCAGTGTAATCTGGTAGCATGTCACTGGCTACAGACTCCACAAGCGTGACACATATATGGACATCTGATGGATCCATCAAAACCGTGAAATGCTCATGTAGTTATGGCTTAGCGCTAATGAAATCAAATGGAACTAAATAACCATGCTATGGAGAATTAAGACACAAGGGGTACCAGACATGAAAAGCAAGCAAGCAAGATAAAGATTCGTTTAACCCTCCTTAGACTAATGCACACAATTCATCATTTTAAGATGTTCACTACCATTGCCTCAACTCGGCTCGTTAATATACGTCCGAAGCACGACAATCCCCTTCAAAAGGAAAAGAAACTTAGATTAACAGTTTCATGCATTACCTGTTGAGGATAGCCGCAGATTTCGCCCAGAAAAAGAGAATTGTCAACAGAAGCAAGAACACACTCGATACCAAGGATATCAATGTATAGCCAGATTTTTCAAAGACCACCCAAGCTGCTAAAGTTACAACTAATATTCCGGCACTTGAGTTCTTGTGCCTCCACAGTATCACATCTGCAGCTGTAGAGTTAGTAAAAGCACAGCATCAGAAACTTTGTTCGCATCCACATCTTGGATGGCTAGGAGAAGTCATTGGCAAGTAAATCCGACTCAAAGAAGCCTCATCCCAACTATTCTATTACCAAATACCATTAGATTTAGGAGAAGCAAGCAACAGATGATCTCAGTTTCTTCATTGGCAAGAAGGTTATCCATTAGCTTGGGGTTTTTAATATCATAAACATACAGGGCAATTTCACGTATACCAATGCAGTTAACTGTAACGACCATCCACTCAGAAAACTTTCTTTTACTCGATTGGAAATCCAAAATCCATAATCAGAAAACTTTAAGTAAACAAGCATCTGAATTGCGAGGCCTTACCAAGCCCTCCTCCAAGAATTTGATGAACTGTTCCCTGCCTGTTGAACAACCGATCTGATGATGAACCCATTTCAACGGAACGGACGATAGACAATAATCAGAAAGTCAAATGCAGCAGCCGGGGTTCTTCAAGAACAGGAAAATTCAATCGATAGAAAGGACTACAGGATACGCCAGGGTAAATTTTTACATGTAGTATTATTTACATCGGAGCAGAAATTGCCGCATTTGTTTAATCAATCTCTCTTCTTATGCTGTACATGTCGCCAAATAAGTGGACAAATGCTGAAAGTTAAAAGGGGTTAGTGAATTATCAGATTCCAGCCTTAAAAGCTTGAAAACACACTCAATGGCTTTCCTTTCTCCCTTTTTTCTTTTTCCTTTTCCGCCCGCAAGCCCTTGACAATTGACCACCCCATGGCAGAAGAAAGATAATTTAGTACTACTACTCTACACACACACACACACTGTGTGCGTGCGTGTATATATGTATATGTATATGTATATGCTATGGTCCTGTACGACATAAATGTGGACGGTGGGGTCCACCGGGAATAGTAGCAGATTGGCCGGTGGAGTTGCGGGTGGAAACTGGGACGAAGACATTCCAGCCACACATTCCACTGATGTCTTTTCCGGAAATTCTTCTCTCGAATGCTTCAGTCGAAAACAGCAGAGTCGATCGGCCTTTTGATGGTACTAGGAGGCATAGACGCGCTTCGCGCGATGGAAATATAAAATGCCCAGCCCAGTTTTGCATAAAGCAAAAAGCAAAATATATGAAGTAATAAAAATAATAATTTATGCAGAAAAAATATACTGATTATTAGTAAAATTCAAAAGGGATGGATCATGAAACATGTAGTCTATGGAATTAAACCTGTTCAATAATTTGTTTTGGATGTGGAAACCATTTACAGAAGAAATCGCAAAAAAAGATAGATACCATAGCAAATGATATAAACCAGAATCTACCTTATTTAGCATTTTTTTTAAATTAAGAATTAAAATGTATCAACAAAAGAAAAAGACAAAGAAATAAAAAATATCGCTTTTCATTTTAATTAATATGCTTAATTAATATGCCTAGACGAAGCGAAAGTATTACAAAACAAAGACACATTTGTTTTCTATTTCCTCTTTGAACCAATTTATCTTTTTATCCACATTTTAAGCTCTTCATTTGTATATATTAATTTGAAACTTCAGATTACCAAGTTACAATTTTACCAAGAATTTGATAGTAGTTGCAAGACAACAGAGACAAAATTTAGATTAGCCGAGTTATCCTAGTAAACGAAATATGGTTCTGATTTTTAATTAATAATACGCTCAAAGAAAGCAAAATTATTACAAAACAAAAAAAGCACACTAATTTCCTCTTTTCTTTTCAAGGTAATCTCAGCTTTCCATGCTTTTCTCATTGCCGTGCATTACCATCAACAATGCATGGAGATAAGAAATTAGAAATCGATTAAGAGTTCTAAGAACATGTGCCCTTTATTTCTATACATGAATAAAAAATGAATTGATTTTTAGTTCTCTTAGTCCTGTTTAGAAGATAAGTGTCCATTTGAAAACCAAGGCTCGGTAGTTACACTCTATTGTTGTAACTGTTCTTTTGGCATTAACCAAGGAGCTCTACTACTCTCTGAGTCGCCATAATGCTCACTTGGAGACTCCTGAACTGAGAAGTCCTCATCTTCCAAAAGGATTGAAGAATATTTGTTATGCAGGGGCTTACACAAGCCAAAGCCGGAAAGCGTCAGATGACCATTTTTATCAAATATTAGGTTGTTTCGTTTTATATCCCCAAACGAATTAGTGTTTCAAGTAAATATCAAATTGCAGACGTGTATTATGCACAGAAATCTAAATAAGACCAAAAATAAGTTCATTTTCAAGCATGTCTCAACTACGTTAAGATATTCAACACAAATCCGTAACTCCAGAGTTTAAATATGAGCATCAAAATATTTTCAACTCATTGTAGCATCAATAATACCTTTGTAATACCAAATTAAGCAAAAAGTAGAAAAGGACTTCAATTATGGTGAAGCTACTGGGCATGATACATCAAGTCATGCTATAAAACTCACAAGTAATTAAGAAAAATTCCACTTAATTTGGACGCCATCAGACCTTAAACAGTTAACATATAGACAGTTTGGCACTTGAAGTCTGAGGAAAGGGCACTACCTATGCAGTCCAAGTATTTGTTTCAAAATTGATTTGAGGAATAGTCATGTGTACCCACATATTCAAAAAGAGACGCTACACTCTCCAATACACAAGGTAGTATGAAATTGGAGAGAAGGAATACTCTCCAATACACAAGGTAGTTCACTGCAATCACATGTATTGGTACCTATGTACATAATTATGTTAATGAATCGAATGTATAACAAGAATACTTTCAGCAATGTAGAATCTGGCAACATCTTCAGAAAGAATATCCTCTCTCATCAGCAAGGTCATGATGTCCACACCAGCTAAATATTCCATGATAAGGTACAAAAAATTTGAATCTTGGAAAGAATAAAAAAGTTTCACTATACACTGACTGTCAACCTCTACAAGCAAATTCCTCTCAAAGCGAACATGCTCAACCTGGAATGGAGTGAAAAAATTAGCAAGGACACAGGTACTCATGCTTGGTATACATTTTTAGAATATGGAAGTCAAGAATTTTATCATCTTTTTCCCTTCTTCCATGCATATAGCTATTGCATTCAGAATTTTCATTTGGCCAATCAAATACATAAATTTTCCCTATTACTATATCAATTTTGTAACTACTATTCTCTTCTTATAACCTTGGCTTTTGCATTTATGTTTGGATAATTTTCTTTCACAATTAAGAGTCATGAACGTGGCTCTTAAAATCTTAATAACTCCTAATATTAACCCAGCTGCAATTATGAGGTAGATACCATAAAATCTAGAAGGAAAACAACCAAATATGTTTACTGTGTTTTAAATTAGCAAGGTCTCACCTGTCCCTGCCTGAGCATATCTGACTTCCTTAATTTCTTCAAGGCAAATATTTCTCCTATATTTTCAGTACGACACGATCTAACCTGCATACCAACAAGCATGCTTGAACTTTTAGTATCAAAGCAATGTATAAACAAGTGATCCATTGAAATGTAGAGAGAGAGAGAGAGAGAGAGAGAGAGAGAGAGAGAGAGAGACCCTGTAATAGTCAACATCTGCATCAATTTCTTCTAGTTGGAATGACATTGCTCAACAAGATAACTATAACTTCATCTTTTACAGGCTACAGAGAAGTAAATGTGAGGAAATTTTTAGAAAATTTTGGAACCATGAACAGAATCAAGAGTTTCTACCGAGCAATCACTTGGATTGACAACTTGAAGCATGTCAGCTAAGAGATCCAGAACATCGCACATAGACTCTATGCTTGACAAACTATAACCACAAAAATAATCCAAAGTCAAACTATAAGCTAACCAAAAAAGATAAAGTAAAACGTATCAGATATAGAACACAAGATTTAGGAATATTGTGTAAAAATTTCAAAGGTAATATTAACCTTAAATTTTCCATTTCTGCAGCCATGGCTGCATCAAGCCTAGTAGAGGAATTACTTGGCATTCCATAACCAGGCTGTTGATGTCATGGTGTTGGATGCATCATAGGCAGTGTAAATATAGGAGCAGTATCTAATGAACACTTGGGAAAGCCCACACTCGAACACTAATACATGCAGAATCACAGATAACATGTAATAATCAACGTGGCTGCAAAGTGGCTTATGCCAAGTTAGGCAATAAACAGCATTCATAGAACATTATGCAATTAATGCGGTATTGCTGAAAAGAAGTCATTTGTCAGCTTCATTAGAGTGCCTTCAAGGCCTGCTATAGTCTACAATGTAACATCATGCTTACATTGTTTTCTCATTTTTATTTTTTTTAATTGTCCTTTATACATAAACTATACAACTTGCTCTTTCTTAATTTAATAAATTGTTATCCCACAAATCCAGTTTATCTTTAATAAATTCTATTATTTTTGAGTTGAGGGTGTATTAGAAAAAATTCTGAAGGAAATATGACAAAACTGAAGCAACACAATTCAGCATATAAAATAGCTATCACCAAAATAAAATTCAGATAATAAAAGCATTCAAAGGCTAATGGAATCAAGCAATAATAGAAGCTTTATAAACCAACATATAAGCCCATAGATTCCTAAGCAAACAGTCAGCTGTAATGCAAAATTTGACTTATCCTTAAGTCCTCATACCCCCAGTAATACTGGGAATATTTTCCTCCAGGGCCACTTGCCAAGAGTCAAACAACAATAGTATTTTGTCTCTAACATGCATATCAGTCTGCAAAAAGAGTTGAAACAACTCCATTGGACTGAATCCTAAGTGACAACTTAAGCATGCATCCATCCAAAAAGCAAATAAAACTTGAGATACTTTACAGGTAGGGAAAGGAAGGTCCAAAAAAGAACTAAGATTTAAAAAAAGAGAAGAAAATGAAACAAAACCAACCTCAATTAAATGACTTCTGAGGGCTTCAGGTTTCGTGGGTCATATCTTTGTTAATCCTGAAAATAGGTCACGTTAAGCATTTTGAAGGCGCATACTTAAAGAGTACATAAACTTCCATAGTCTTAGTAGTGCAATTGCACAGCATTATTAAAAAGACTTTCTAACTACCCAGCATTCAACTATTTGAATGTGATCACTATTAGAGACAACAAACTTGCAATTTGTACATACTCTATGGCTCATGCCACAGGCAATGCTGTTTTCATCATTGATAGATCATATACGGACCCATGAAAGATTCTAAGTTGTAATTTAACAGGAGCACCCTAATGAAGACACCCTACTTTCTTATTCAAATATGCAATATCACGAGCAGAGGATATCGACTCAAACAAAATCTTCTTACAATGAACTCACAGGCATGCGAATAACAGAAATCCAATTGAAGCCAAAATATTAGCACGTTGTGTCATACTTTCAGAAATGGCTAGTACAGCCCCAATAAAATTAAAAAAAAAAAAACCACACATGCAGAGTTATAACGTAAGGGAAACTAAAATGTTTATCAACACTCAGACTCATAGTCCCTTGCAAACGAAGAAGAGGAATAAACTTGAAGCAAAAGGGGTGGAAAAGAAACACCAAACCACCAGTTTTTCAAAAAAATCCTCTGAATAAGCAAAAAATACAACCAGCCAAGGGGGAAAATCACTAAATCACCAGTTCTTCATACCCTAGAATTTGAAGATATTTTGAAACACCAAACCAAAACATCACAAAAAAACAAAGGCATATTTAGATGCAGAGAAACAAGAAGAGAAGAGAAAAGAAAAATCCCTTGAAAAATAAAAAAAAAATACAACCAGCCAAGATACCAAAAAACCACTAAATGACCAGCTATTAAGCCCTAGAATTTCAAGATACAACATCACAAAAAAGCAAAGACATCTTCGCATATAGACAGTGAAATAAAAAAAACCAATAATATCGAAATACTGCTTGATATTGATATTTCACCTGCAAAAACAAAAAAAAAAGAGGAGCAAAAATTTAAAAATAAAAATGAAGGCGAGGGAGTGGAGATCCTGGGAAGGGCAACGATGAACCTGAAATTGAGAGAGGCGGAGGAGGAATCTCAGGGCTGGTGGGAGAAGGGAAACTTGTGATGGTGGGTGTAGGACGAGTTGATAGAGGACAGGGAGACGATATAGTGGCAGAGGAAGAGAGAACGAAGAGAGTATGAGGAGATGAAGGGCGAGGGGGCTGAGATCTAGGGAGGAAGGGCAAATGCCGATGACGGCGAGGATCTTGCGGTGGGATTCGAAGTCCTAGAATCCCAGAGCTGATGGGAGAAGGAGAACTTGTGATGTTAGGTGTAGAAGGAGCTTATAGAGGTGAGGGAGACAATGTGGTTTGGTGTAGAATGAGCTTTGTACCAGAAGTCCTAGAATTGGCAGAACGGAATACCACACCGCAACAAAGCTTTGTACCAGTTTGGAGAGCACGCGGATAAGTGACAGAGCAACATATTGTTGTGGAAAGAAGAGAAAGAGAAAAGAGGAAAAAGAATGACAGAAGAAAGAGAGAGAGAGCAGCTGCAAAGAGAAGCAGCGGGAAGAGAGAATGCAGCAGTAGCACATGGGATACTGGCAGCGAGGCCAGGTGGGAAGCTAACGCGCAAGGCGCGAAGGACTGAATGCTTCTAATCCACGTGCCGGGCACGTGAGAGGACGACGAAAGTTTTGGCTGAATTCTGTTGGGACGTTATCTACTTATGTTGAAAAAGAGTTTTTTATTACACTAAAATTTTTTAATCCCACTAGTTCGGGTTGCGAATTCCATGCATTTCTATTAGTATAACAACTTCTGCAAACTAATAAAATTTTTTCCTTCTATTACAATGTGTTGAGTACTGGAGTCTTTCTCGGTATAAATCTGCATTTACAATGTGATAGTACACCATGTTTTTGTTTCACCGGGCATAAATTTGTTCCTGAGCAGTTCAGTAAACCTGTTCACTTGAACAGGCATCTCCTTGTGAGTTCGCACATTCAGAAAATCCGAAACCAAAATCATACGCAGAGCCCATTTCGGGCAAAAGGCCACCGGACTGCAGACACCGGATTTTAACAATTTTTGGATGGATGATTCTCGGGCATTTGTTCTTTGCTTTATTTCCTTTTCCACTAATTTTAGCAGTCCTAAACTTTATAAGCGAGACAAGGTCTTAGCAATATCAACATGCAAATTCCACAGTATCTAGAATTCTACAAACTGTTCAGTAAGATCTCGCCATTATCATCGAAAAATCATCAGCCATTGTATCTGAGTTCCAAAACCGCTCCTGTTTCCAATACCCCAACAAGAAACAGTGATGCATACCACAGAATTTATGCGCCTGAAGCTGAGTAGTGAATTTCAACCCACCAGACATCAGATCTTTCGCAAATTCCATCCCCAACATTCATTGTCGTCAATTATTCACTCTCTAATATTCTCTTCACCACTTTTCTTATTTTCATCGGCTAACACATCAGCCGGAATGTCTTTAACTGCCGTTGCAGAATCCGTCAAGCTGGCAGCTATTGCAGCTTTGAAATCTTCATCATCTTCATCCAACGACAACCCTCCACCACCATACTGCATATAAGAATCAGAAAATTGCCGAATTTGACTACTTCCAGGAGCCGTCCTCTGTGTAGAGTTGCAAGACTTTGTAATTCTCTCAGCATCTTCAGGGGACAACCACTGCCCGTACCCATTAGAAGATTCAGAGGATGCTATAGGGCACTCCTTTGGAAAATTACCTCTTACGAGGAAAATGCTCCAACCTGAACCCCTCAGAGAAATCAGATAGGCAGAAAGGTAAAACTTGGATAGGTGCTCAGGTGCTGCATAAAGACTATCAAAGTTATACCATTCTCCATTTACTTTCCTGATACAGAACCAATGATTTTGTAAATGACAGATAAACGCATTTTCAAGCTCTGGGTCAATTTGTGCAGGTTCAGCAACAGGACTGTTAAGAGGTATAACTTGCAAATCCCATACCTCCAAAGCCTTTTCCAGGACCTGCAAGCATAAACTCTATTAGATCAAGAAAGAAGCTAACCACCTCTTCAACAAACAAAGAGAGGAGAAACTAAGGGGGAAAAGAAAGAATAACCCAGAAAAATGGTTAGTGCATTGACAGAATAAATTTCAGGATGGATCAGATATATTTTCAGATTATGGAAGAGAGAGAACAATGTACTGACCAAAATACACTTCCGTGATGAGAGCATTACATATATACATTGTATATAGTTCTACAAGGAGAAGAGAAATAGCTGAATGTGAATGGCAACCAGTAAACAGAGCCCCAAACAAGTTAAATGGCATGTACACATTTCTCTGAATAACGCTTTTTCATGCATTAAAGCCCAGCCTATAGGAGGAAATGATTTCCAACACCGGCTAGAGTAAGCAAAAGCTAACAAAGACCAAATTTACTAGTATGGCGTTGATCACGCATTACCCATTAATCAATGATACTGGGCAAACCAGGAAAGGCAAATCGTAAGGATCAGAAAAACCGGGAATAATGTTAGAAGCAAAACATATAAAATGCAACTGCAAGATATTCATCAACAAAGACTAAAGCTACAGGAAGTCAAAATCTGAGACATAAAAGCAAGAAACAAAAAGGACTAATAACAGTGTCAAACAGGTCGTACTTTTCAACCACAATAACACCAAATGACGGATTTTACCCACTTAGGGTTTCTGGCCAAAATACTAACATTATTTCAGGTATCCAGTGAATGACACGAGTAAGGTCCTCCATGTTTTCCTAAACACTGAACACACATGTTTCACGTGCAGGACCATCCAAAACCAAACACAACTAAACTACATCCTAAGGATGACTGACATCAGGCCAAAATGATGCTTTGGAGGCAAAGAAAAGTAATTCCCTTGATAGTTAAACACAAGAGAGATGTGATGATATCAGTGTCTTATCTATCAAGTTCTCCAACTTCAGAGCATTACATGTAATCTAGAGTCTCAATTAAATGTGAACGGAGGATCATTCAATACCATTAACTTGCAGTAGCAACTTAGATGATATCTACATCTACAGCTTATGGAAAGGAAGCCACCCTCCTAAAGGGGAGGGGGAGCAGCTTGAAGACCAAATTCCATTACCTGAGTCTTGGTTCCAGAAAAGCCTGCCAAAGTTATCATGGGACTACTTTAACTTATTCAATTTCTCCTTTGAAATGAAACATTTTCTCTCTCACTTAGAGCTGACAATCCTCTATCAGCTCCATCAACAAAAATTCCTATGCAACTCATTCCAGATATCAAAAACTGATTGAATTACTTTCCATTTTTGAACTAAGTTCATTATAAATTCTTATTCTCGGTTTTCCAATAAAAATGATTGTGCATATTTTACTCTGTTCAGTAGCTGATACAAGTATATCACAATCACAATTAAATGACATCACTTCATATCATTTTTTCAGTTAGCACATATTGTGCCCGTGCTAATACAAATGGACAAGGAGCAATGTAGAAATCAAAACCCAGTAAGGTAAACATAAATCCAAAAAATCCAATCAAAAACCAAATGTTATGAATCCTCAAGCTTAATCATTTGCATGGAAGATTCTTATATACTATATGGGTCCATCTAACACACCTGTAATAATATAAAATATTCTTTACACTGCATACAAAAGATTCTTACACTATTGTGTTTAGCTTCCTGCTACACGTACGATACGAACTTTCAACACTCGTATTCTCAAATACCTACATATGCTCATCAAAAGCATTTTTACACTAGGATAGACAGTATATAGTTGATCTGTGTAACATGACAAGTTCTTTCATCGCATAGGAAATATGACAGCCATTAACTGTGTGACTACCATAGCATTCACCCCTTAGCGTTTAGACACAAAAGATGAAACATTCATTTTTCAGATTGAGGCAGTAAATATCATGCTATGTGAAACTATCAGCTGACTACTTAAAGTTTTAACGGCAATTACATATAAACACAATATAATTTCATTCTGCATGTTGTGACATACAATCCAATAAAGCATTTTCCATCTGAATCATTTATTCGTAAACAAATGTGTGACAATTTTTCATTTTTGTGTTGCATCCCAGGAAAGTTTCTTAGATAATAGTTTACAAACTCATAAACATTCAATGCTAGTCAATGTATGAGGCGCCGTAAGCTTGAAAAAATATAAACATTTCGCTGCAGTCACACATTTCACATCATATCAACTTCTAAAAATCCTATCTTGGATGATCAACTCTCTTTTGCATTTAAACAATAAGCAATAAAAGGGAAACCATGAGCCATGTTCAATGTACACCTTCCTCTGTAGCAAATGTTATCTACCTGAACCTTACTCAATTGTCTCTGGAAATTTCAGAGAAAAACAAAGAACCAATACAGGATAAGAGCACAAAACAAGGAAGCACTTGTTTCTAGGACCTACACCCTATGTGCTTTGGCTAGTAGTCAAGGCTTGTTTGGCAGCACAACAGTTAATTTTGGAACCAAAAATTGAATCTTTAAGTGCATTGATCATATGTTACCAATGAAACGAAAGACATGCATTCTTAACAGAGTCTTCAATAAGTTGAATTAAAACATTAAAGCAGAAATTAAGAAGTACATTTAAATCTTCAACTTCATAAACAACAGAAAAAGAAGAAAAAAAGAAGTCAATTAAAACCAGAAAGCAACCCAAAAATTCATATATGCACAACAAAATCTCGCCTTAATTATTCAAGCCCAATCCTACAACCATCAGCTCTCCAAGAACATCTTGGGCCCAACTACTGGAATCCGCAATGCCGTGAAAAGCAATCCCATGGAAGTATTTCAGCACTAAAAATTCACGAATAAGCCAAATTTCTCCTTCAAAGAAACTTAAAAAGATTTTGTCCTTACAGAATCTAGTGAGAGACATAGTAAGTGTTCCTTTCAATGGACAAATGTTGAAGGCAAACCTGTATGCTAAAATCGCCGTCGAGGGAGACGTTGTGGGACTCGTCGGGGTCGGGGAGGAAATCACCGCCGGCTTGCAGCATCATCTGACGCTCCCGGCGGTCGAGATCGGAAGCAAGGGCCGCCAAATCGAATTCCGAGAAGAATGGGCCCTGCAACACTGTATTCACGCAATGCATCGCGCACAGCTTCGACTCTTGTACTTCATGATACAACATCCCTCCATTACTGGCTCCTTCCATTCTCTTGCAAACCTCTTTGCCTCTCTCTTTCTGTATCAAGAATCAATCAATTAAGTTAAGAAAGCAAGAAAACCTAATACGCAAATATGATAGTGCTAAAAGTTTCTCTTCTTTTTCTTCTCTTTCCTGTCTCCGTCTCGGTCTCCTTCTCTGCGGGTATGATAAACTTGATTGATGTCGAGAGTTATGTTCAGTTTCTTTGAGTGGGGAGTAAGTTTCTCTCTCTGTCTCTCTTTCTCCTTCTTCTCTCTCTTTTGATTTTCATCTTTTTAGGACGATCGAGCGAGGGGGTGGATTATAAAGTGTGTTTGGATGGCCATTATTTGGCCAAAAATTATTTATTTATATCACAAATATTTTATCTTTTCAGTCACATTTTTAACCTCACATATATCACATGATAAAAAGTGTTACATTAATTATTTTAAATAATCTCCTATTTAAACACTATAATTATCAATGTATTCAGATAGTAGATTATTTGAAATAATTTTTTTAAAAAAATTA